TGTGCTTGGAGCAGGTAGAGCTGGACCCACAGGATTTGAGGAGTCACTGTGAATGTGTAAAGAGAGGTCAGAATGAAGTGTGTTAGGAGTTTCAAAAGGTAATGTAGCACACAGTCTTAGCCTTGTAAGCTGGGCTTATAAAAATTTTTTGCTGTTAAAACTAACTACAGAGGTATTTTTATTTATAATGATAAATTTCTGCTGGAACACCACACAAAATGTTTGTAGGCAGTCATTTTGTTGTCACCTCTTTGACAGCGGTCCCCAGTGTAGTCTTCACTCCCCAGAGTGCAGGGGTTCATGGCACTAATGCCTATTAGGTTCCATGATCCAGAACTTCAGTGGGGTTTGGGTTAGCCTTCCTAATTCTCCTTAAAATCTGATGTATTATGTATGCCCTTTGCATAGAAGAAGAGTAAGGAGACATGAGTACACATACTGTTGAATCCTGGAGGAGATTCTGAAACAGAAGGATGGGCATTAGGTAAAAACTAAAGAAATCCAAGTCAAGTAGAGAATTGAGTTAATATATTGTAGCAGTGTCGGTTCATCAGTTCCCACAAGTGTACCATAGAAACATAAAATGGTGACAATGGGAGGGATGGGGTGTGGAGCACATGGAAATATTGTGTTCTATCTTTGACTTTCCTGAAAATCTAAAATGATTCTAAAAGAGGTTTATTTTTTAAATAAGACAAAAAACTGGTAGCATTTTAATCAATTTTCTTATGTTCGTCATAAAGATGCCTATATAAACAAACCTTGGAAGTGGCACATCCAACTAAATGGGAAATTAAACAGACTAAAAAGCAAACAATAAAAAACCTTTAACTAAATAGCATTCACCCAGTTGTTGTTGTAGTTGTTAAGTGTCGTTGAGTCAGTTCTGACTCAGTGATTTCCGAGAAGCCGGACCTTAACGTTCAAACCAACTGTGAGGTCGAGTGCTTATCCTGCGGTGCCACATCAGGACTCTCTTGCACCCAGTAGCTGAATAAAATGCCTAGATATTGAGCAATATGAAAAAGAAAGGAAAATTAGTCACCAAGACCTTTTAGATATAGATCTTTAAAGTGATTACAGTCTACTTTCAAATGATTGCGTATCACTTCGACTATAATAAAAAAAAAATTATATTAGAATACCTCTAATTGTTCTCTATAGACCATTAAACTATTTTTATTATATGTTTTGCTAATACATAGCTCATAAAGTCCATTAATAATCCCAATAATATATTATTCTTACTTAAAGAGTCAATTGTTTTTCAAGATATTTAAATAAATAGGTTGATTAGAATAGGTAGATAAAGTTTTGCCCTTGTACTTTTCATTTCCAGTGTTTTTCATTTCTTTGTGTAGATTTGTATTTTCAGTTGCTATCATTTTTTTTCACCTAAATTGGGACAGCCACTTTGAAAAAGGGGCAGAATCTAAACAGAACATGTGCTTACCGTATACTCAGCAATTATCCACCTAGATACTGGTCATTTTGCTATTGTTAAGTACTGATGAGTCAGTTCCGACTCTTAGGAACCCTCTATAGGGTTTCCAAGGAGCACCTGGTGGGTTTAAACTGCTGACCTTGTGGTTTGCAGTCCAGTGCTGATCCTCCAGCGCCACACTGGGAGTCCCTCAAACAATCTAATAGAATTGTGTGCATAGGATCATTAAACAAACATGTATAGCAAGCAAGCAAGAAAACAGCTCAAGTGCCAACCAGCAGTGGTAGTTGTGGTGGTTGTGTGCTGTGGAGTTGACTCTGACTCATAGCGAACCTGTATAGGGTTTCTGAGGCTGAAAATCTTTATGGGAGCCCAACGCCTTATCTTCTAGCGGAGCAGTTGGTAGACTCGAACTGCAGACCTTGCGGTTATCAGCCTACTTCATAACTTATTACACTACCAGGGCTCCTTGATCAGCAGTAGGATGGATAAATAAATTGTGGTATATTTACAGAATAGAATATTATGCAAAATAGTGAATGAATGATGTGTGTGCATACAATATTATATAAAGGGTCTTTTAAATTTTTTTGGGAAAATTCCATAATCTTTTCATTCCTTTGTCCAGGAACTTTTTAAGTCCCTTCATATGTACAATAAGGAGCTCTGGTAGCATAGTGGTTACGAATCAAGCTGCTAACCTGAAGGTCGGCAGTTCGAAACTACCAGCAGTTCCGCGGAGAGAAAGATGAGGCGTTCTGCTCCTGTGAAGATTTACAGCCTTGGAAACCCTGTGCAGGGTCACTATGAGTCGAAACCGACTCCACGGTACTTAACAACAACAACAACAACATATGTACAATGGTATACAGCTATACCCACTCCTCACTTAACAATGTGGTTAGGTTCCAAAGACGAGGTCATTATTTGAAAATCAGTTTTACATACAAATATTGGGAAAATCTATCATCTTACCCTCTCTTCTGTACTGTGAAGATCTGCCAGGCCAAGGCTGAGGTTACTTACAACTCCTGTCTACTCCTTTTCCACTTCACCTCAGGAACACTTGCCCTACCACCACCACCACCTGCATGGGAGGGCCACCTTCGAGTCCCCTCTGTCTCTTGCTCTCACTGTATTTTCAAGATGTGTGGCTCTGACACATCCCCTCAATGACCTCAAAATGTTCTTGGTGGCTTTGTTGGGGGCAGGAGACGCTCTACCTGAGAACACAAAGGCATGGATGCTGCAGGGGTGCACAATGTCCCCTAGGTATCCCTGCACAATATCCACTAGGTATCATCTTGCCCTCACCCAAGCATTCCCTGACTCTTTCTAGGTGACCCTGTCACCCTTCACCCCCATGAAAATCAGTAATTCTAAGCTTCCTCCATGGGAGTGATGACCTGGTCAGGCCTCTACTATTGACCTTAACCTGCAGGTGATGCATGCTGGCCACTCACTGGCTGACCCTACACCCACCCAGGTTTCCTGCCCTACTTTCACCTATGTCCACACAGAAGGGGGACCATCTAAGAAGTGTAAGAGACTCAACAAGTGCTATAGGCTTTAAGTATCCAAGTGCCCATCTCAGGGCTCCATCTGACCATGGCCTAACACTGCCCTAATCCCCTTCAGGGTTAGAACTAGAACCAAACCCCTGGATCCTACTTCCTCTCTGGCCCCAGCATCAGCCCCCTGTGGGCACCTAGGATCTACCAGGCAGTGTCCCGTCCCCACCAGTCCCACTTCAGCCCTCCCTCTGCTGCACCAGCATCCTGATGACTCAGGAGACCATCTCGTCTCTGCCCTCCTGGGCGGTGAAATCTTACTCAGTGCAAACTTCCTTACTATGTGCAAATATGATCAGCTAGTCAGAGATTCCATCAGGGACCTCAACATCCATTAATGCTAGATGGGCATTCATTGTTAAAACTGTGCAGAATAGCTGAATAGTAAGTACTTTACGATTGTGGAAAATGCCAAGTGACAGATAAAGAGCTAGTTAACAAATGTCTGTATAACCATATGAACGAATCTCAAAAACATAAGGATGGGGCCAAAATATCCAGACACAAAAGAGTATGTACTGCATGATTCCATTTATATGAAATTAAAAAAATCAAAAGCAACAAAGCAGATAGTGTTTATCTTTGATTTGGCAAAGGATCCTGGTGGCGCTGTGGATCAGGCATTAGACTGATGACCAATGACCACAAGGTGAGCTGTTCAACCCCACCAGCTACTCCTCGGGAGAAAGGCGAGTCTGACTGCTTCCGTAAAGATTTCCAGTATAGGAAACCCTCTATATGGTGTTGCTGGGGAGTAGGTTTGGTGTGGGAAGGAAAGACGGCCAGATGGAAGCATGAAGAGGGCCACTGGGTGCTGCTAATGATCTGTTTCTTGATCTGGGTATTATTCATCCGGATGTATTTATCCATCCGTACATTATAGCATGTATATGTACATTTGTGTACATAAAAGAGTGTATCATGCAGTTCACAATGCCGTTGGACAGCAGTCCTCTGCATTTAATTTGAAGTTTAAGCTTCAGCATCTCACTATAGCAAGCACTGTTGATGAACATTTTTCCTGATAGTGTTCCAATACTGGCCCTTGAGGATCCCAGAAAGCTGTAAGTATCAATTTCCCAGCTGATGGTTGACTTTTGAACTTTTTCTTGGTTGGTGATTGGGGTATGTTTCCATTCCATATTCTGCCATTTACTTTCTGGCTCGTAGTGAGGAATCCATGTCTCGTCACCAGTACTGACTTTTTTAAAGAAACTTTTGCCTTCCTTTGAGTATCAGTCCAAATTTTGCTTTCAGACATTCAAACACTCTGTTTATGCTGTTTTGTGAGTTGTTTTGGTACCTGTCATGCACAAACTTTTCAAAACCCAAATCTGTCATTGATTATTTTATAGGCAGAGCCAGGGCTGATTTGCACATGATTTACCACATAATTCACTATCACTCATCTATTCGATAGAATCATTTCATGTGCACATTCAACGTTGTCATCAGGTGTGAATGTGCACAGATGTTTTACTATAACCGGAGTGTGAATAATTTTTGACTCACCTTCCTATATATATATATATATACAGGTACATGGGCGTAGATACAGTATGATACTTTTTTAAAAGGTAAAAACATATATTATTTTGATTCTGTACACAACTCATCTAAGATAGCTTCAACTCATCTAATATAACCTCATTTTAGAGATGAAGAAAATGAGATATAGTGAGTTTATTTAGTTATTTTGAAATACTAATACTGTACAACTATTTGGTGGCTCACATTAAATGGTCCCTCCTAGTTCTAAACTACTATGCTTTTATAAAGCCACCAAATTGTAATCTAATGAACTTTCTGACTTTCTTTTTACTCTAATTTCTATTGGCCCTCCAGTAGGTTTCCAAATTACTATACCCAAAGTTAATATTCTTTGATATTTATAACAGTACTTTAGCAAAAGCTTTTCTTGCAACTGTAAAGTTGTTTCATTTGTACTCATTTTATACCTGTTTTCTGCACATATTGTTTTATAGGCAAGCAAAGGTCGGACTACAATTGTGATAGCACACCGGCTATCTGCTATTCGGAACGCTGATCTGATTGTGGCCATAAAAGATGGGAGGGTGATAGAAAAAGGGACACATGCTGAACTAATGGCAAAAGAAAGTCTATATTATTCACTTGCAATGTCACAGGTAAGGTTTACATGATAAAACTTTATGTTAGAGGGTTACTAAGAGATTATATCACATTCAGAAGTAGAAATATTGAATTACAAACTTAAATCTCATAAAGCAATCAGGGTTTATTTATAGTTCCTCAGTGAAGACATGCTTCTCAAGTACATCAAATGTCCTCAGCATTGCTCTAGATAATCGGATGACGATTGAGGGACTAGTGGGTACATAGCCTAATATTTGCCAAGCATAAATAGCCCTCAACGCTTGTATGTGCCTGATCCAGGACCATTGACCTCTATATATTATGATCTTCTGAATAGAACATAAGGATATGAACACACAATCACTACTTAAGGACTTAAAACTTGCTTACCAAGGCAAAATTGTGCTTACAAACTGTGGCACAAACTGTAGAAAGAAGAGGCAACAAGGATGAGGGTGAGGGTGAGGGTAGGGAGGGGCTTGGTTATCTAAGGAACATGAGAAGGTTTTGAAGATTAGAATGCCAGAGGTTCAGATGGAGGAAGACTCTGAGAAGAAAAGGAATATGCAGGGAAGAAGGAAGTTGGCATGCAACTAAAACAGAAAGAGTCCAGTTTTCATTGAGTATAAAAATGAATGTTTGACAAAGAACTGGAAAACAAGGTACAGAGAGTGAAAGTTCTTAGAATCCAGGTAGAAAGGTTAGATCTAATATGTAGGATGCACCTACATATTAAACACAGAGTCTGGCATGTGGTGGGACCTCAGTAAATATCTGTTGAATATTGATACACACATAAAACACACCCTTATACAAATGCTCCTTCCTTGCAGGTAGACCACAAAGCTCATGTTGTATCTTCACAATTAACTCATAATAATGCTGGAAATATGCTGATCAATTTTCATTATTCCTTTTTCTGAATGCCATATAACCCATCCAACTTAATTTCATCATTTTTTATTGTTGTTATTGTTAGGTTGATTCTGTTGAGTTGGTTCGAACTCATATGCACAACAGAACAAAACACTGTCTGGTCCTGCACCAGTCTCACAATTGCTGTTATGTTTGAGCCCACTGTTGTTGCCATGGTGTAGTCAGGGCTTCCTCTTTTACATTGACCCTTCACTTTGCCAAACAATGTCCTTCTCCAGGGACTAATCCCTTCTGACAGCATGCCCAGAGTATGAGAGACGCAGTCTCACTTTCTGCACTTTTAAAGCACATTCTGACTACACTTCTTTCAAGACAGATTTGTTTGTTTTTCAAGCAGTATTTTCAATATTCTTCACTTACACCATAGTTCAAATACATTGATTCTTCTATGGTCTTCCTTATTCATTGTCCAAATTTAACATGCATATGAGGTAATTAAAAATACCATGACTTGGGTATTTGTCCTCAAACTGACATCTTTGCTCTTGAACTCTTTAAAGAGGTCTTATGCAGCAAATTTGCCTAATGCAATGCATCATTTGGTATCTTGACTGCTGCTTCCACTGAGTGTTGATGATGGATCCAAGAAAAATGAAGTCTTTGACAACTTCAATCTTTCCTCCATTTACCATGATATTATTTATTGGTTCATTGGTGAGTATTTGTGTTTTATTTACATTGAGGTGTAACCCATACTAAAGGCTGTGGTCTTTGATATTCATCGATATGTATTTTAAGTCCTCTTCATTTTCAGCAAGCAAGTTTGTAGCGTTTGCATATCACAGGTTGTTAATGAGTCTTCCTCCAACCATGATGCCACATTCTTCTTCATATAATCCAGCGTCTTGGATTACTTGCTCAACATACAGATTGAATAAGTATGGCAAAATAACACAACCTTTTTCCTTATTTTAAACCATTAAGTGTCCCTTTATTCTATTTGAACAACTATTTCTTGTTCTTTGTACAGGTTCCTCAGGAGCACAATTAAGTGTTCTACCATATTCATTCTCTGAGATGTTTTCCATATCTTGTCATGATGTACACAGTCGAAAACATTTGCATAGTCAGTAAAGCACAGGTGTTCTCTGCTTTCAGCCAAGATGCATCTGACATCAGCAATGATATGCCTCATTCCACATCCTCTTCTGAACGCATCTGGTAATTCTCTGTCAATATATACTGTTGCAGCCATTTAAAAATTATCTGTAGCAAAATTTTACTTGCATGTGATATTAATATTGTCTGATGATTTACACATTCTGTTGGGTCACTTCTTTTGGAATGGACACAATTTGGATCTCTTCTAATAAGTTGGCCAGGTAGTTGTCTTCCATATTTCTTGGCATAAATGAGTGAGTACCTTCAGTGCCTCATCAGTTTGTTGCAAGATTTCAATTT